ATGCCCGGCTGATTCTTGATTTATTGTAGAGATGAGGTCTTGCCAAGTTGCCCAGGCGGCTCTCGAACCCGCGGGCTGGCAATCCACTCACCTCAGCCTCCCAAGGTGCGGGATTACAGCCTGAGCCACCGAGCCCGGCTTATTTGCAGTACTTTTAAACATTCATCTTTGTTATAAAAGGCACTGAATTTCCAGATAACTCATTAATTACTTCTTATATTACACATAAAATAAAGCCAGTGGGAAATCATAAATGAATATAATCTTGTATTATATGACTTTGGACAGTTATTTTACTCAATGAATGTGCTAGATGTCTGAGCAAACTATCAGATAATGTAACATTGATATTAAAATAGATCTTTTTTTTTTAATTGAGTCAGGGTCTCACTCCATTGCCCAGGGTAGAGGGCAGTGGTGCAATCATGGCTCACCGTAGCCTTAAACTCCTGGGCTCAAGAGATCTTCCCACCTCAGCCTCCCAAGTAGCTGGGACTACAAAGGCACACCACCATACTCAGCTAAGTTGTTTTGTTTTTTGTAGAGGTGGGGTCTTGTTGTTGTCCAGACTGGTCTGGAATTCCCAGCCTCAAATGATCCTCTCATCTTGGCTTCCCAAATTCAGGGATGACAGGTATGAGCCACCACACCCAGTCTTTAAATGAGATCCTGATGTTAAATTTTGTGGCTCAAATCACTGTGCAATCATTGTAACCTTATGCTGATTTTTCTAGTAGTTGAGAACATGAGCTTTGGAATGGAACTTGTCTGGTTTGTATCTTGTCTGTTTATTAGTTACTGTGACCCTGACCAAGTTATGTAATTTCCTTGTGTAATGGTTTCCTTGTCTGTAAAATGGGATAATAATACATACAAACCTCAAAATATTGCTCTAGGGATTTTAAAGCTAATATATGTGAAGTGATAAGAACAGTGCTGGTCTATAGTAAACAGTCTTTGTTAACTATCATTATTATATTCAATATTATATTAAGCACCCATAGAAATACCCCATGGAAAAATGTAAATGGAGAAATATTTAGATCATTAAATTTGAATTTCCAAGGTAATTTTAATATTAATATAAAGTAATTAATATACATTTTAGAATCAATATTTTGTGGCCTTAGTATAATAAAATTTCTTTTTTAAAAGGCTATAAGATATAAAAGAAACTTTTTCTGATTTGATTCAATTTGCAAACAGCATGTATAGTATAGCATATACATATTTTTCTTATTTCATTTTACTCCTCCAATCAGCAGTTCCACCAGGATGTTACATTTAAATTATGTTAAATCATGACTAATAAGACAAAAGTAAGGAATTGATTTTAGAAACAATTGCTTTAGTCCTGAAATATAAAACAACCAGTTTGTTCTATATTTATAGCTATTTTAAAGCTGAAAAAAATGAACACATTTCCAACAGTACTCAGTACAATTAACTTTTTCTGCTAACCAGAAAGAAAATGATGGATATCTGGAGACATGTTCAGTGAGGCAACAACCAGGGAAGAGGAAGGCATGTTTTCAGCTAAACTCTCTTCTTGAAGCTTCTGGCTGTCCAAGTTGGGTTTTCTGATATTTTAGTGAAATGCTGGGCACAGGATTCTATAGTTATTTCAATTAGTTAAGTACTATATCAAAGAAAGGGAGGCGCTATTCTGAAAAATGACCCAGTTATTGTTTAAAGAACTGTAAATTAGAGGCTTGAATGATCTCAAATGGGTAGTTGAACTTTACCATACTATAGAAATTCACTGCCAAATTATCTGTCTCAGGGTATGTAACACACAGAGTTGGACTGATAACTGTATTGCCACGAAACTATGGAAAGGGAATTGAGGCAAGAGGAGTGTTATAAACTCTCTCTCCTCAACCTTCATAAATTTCTGTATAAACTATCTCTCCCCAAGTTTCCAATTCTGCATATTGAAATATCAGGAGACCCACTTTGTATAGCTGGCTAATTGATAAGAATATCCACTTTCTAACACTAACATTATTTTAACTGTATCCTCTCTCTACAATGATTGTTATGTTTTAGAGATATGATTTTAATCTTTGTGATCTCTAAATTTAATAATGTACACTGTGCCAGAATTTAACTATATTTTTCTCCAAGGCAGTGGTTCTCATGGAGAAGGCAATTTTGACCCCCAGGGGATATCTGACAATGTCTGGAGATATTTCTGGTTATCACAGTTGTGTGGAGGGAGCAGTGGACAGTCTCCCAAACAAAGAATTATCTTGTCCAATGTTAATATTGCCAAAGTTGAGAAACCTTGCTCCACATTAAGAAGGCATGCTATTTTGAAGTAACTTTCTACATTTTCATTGTGTTTTAAGATCAAAGAGTAGCGTCTACATCAAATCACATTTTAAAAAAATCTAACGCCAATTTTAGCGCCTCTTAGATTTTAGATCCTGTCTTTGCTGCTTGTCAATATAAATAACAAGATAAATCAAGGCAATGTCATAAATGCACAGAATCAGCTCTGTATGTTATTATCACACTAAACATGAAGTAAAACAGTATGCAATTAAGATCATAAATATTTCCACTGGAAAAAAAATGTAGTTTTTCAATTTAAAAAGTCACAGAAAAAAAATGGTCTATTAGGTACTGCAGTGCCTTAAAGTAAAAAACTGGCTTTATTTTGACACTGGTTTGAAGATTGGGTATTTTCCTTTACTCTGTTGTTCTTTGTCATGATTCTGAACTGCTACAAACCTTGTCTTGCAGAAGTATTTTCAAATGAAATCAAATGCCAGGAAAATGGTCTCGGAAGTTATCCTAATAGTATGCAAGATATTGTTAAAAGGACTAATATACAGAGTGATTTAAAAATAATAAAAGGCAAGTAAACTGTCAGAACTGTGATCTAAACACCTATGTTTGACACTTGGTATGATCCAAATTATAAAGCGATCTGTCAAGAATATCAACTCAAAACGTTCTCACTGTTTAAGGATAAAAGCATACACACAGACATACACGGTATAAATACTGAAATAACTGTGTTCTTTTGCCTAGCTGATTTTTTCTGAACATTCTAGGAAATTACAATTCCTAATACGTTTTGAAATAGAATTTAACACTATTAAGATTGTACATCAACAGGCCCCAGTTCCCAGTCTATTATAATTTTCTTCCGTGGATCCCACCGTATGTGCTTACTGACAGTAAGTGACAAAAGGAAAAGGGACCGAGATTTCTCCCTTCCCTCCGCGCGTTTTCCGCGAGCGCCTCCCGCGCGCCCCGCACGGTCCGGGTCGCAGGCTCAAGTCTTGTTGCGGCGCGCCGAACCCGCAACCTACAGTCACCCCGGCCTCCGCCGTGAGGCCCCGGCCACCTACCCCAGCCGCCGCGGCCCCGGCGGACATCGCCGTCCCCTCCGGCCCAGCCCAGCCCCGCACTCACCCGTCACGCGAATGGACTCCAGCATCGTCCTGCCGAGGCCGGGGCTGCGGGCTTCGGGCGCGCAGGGGCGAGGGCCGGGCGGGAGCTGGGCAGGGCCGCCTCTAGCCTCCGGCCCGGGGCTCAGTGGCAGGGCGCGGCGGGAGGCTGCTGTCGGCTATCTGGTGCGGGATAAGGCGAGTAAGGGCGGAGAAGACGCGCGGACACAGGGCCGTGAGCGTGGCTTCCACCTGCCCGCGGCTAGGAGGAACACACGTCGACCCTAGAGCGGCCGGCAGAGCTTAGAACCAGCCGCCCAGGCGAGGCCGCTCCCCCGGTTGCTAGGAAACGGTCCCCGCCGTGCGCTCGCGCTGCGCTTCACAGAGCCTGAGCACCGCTTGGGGCGCTGGTGCGACGAAAGCCGGCTTGCGGGGAGAGAGGAGGAACTACAACTCCCGGCGTTCATAGCGCGGACCCTCGCCGCTGGGGCTTGTGGGCCGTGCCCCGCCGCCGCCTGGGGTCTCTGGCCAGTTGGAAATACGCACGTAGACTGATGCTGCTGGAGACGTTTGTGAGCCTTTCAAAGGGGCTTCACTCCATCTTTACAAGAAGATGGGGGTGGTGTGTCACTCAGCCTAGCTGCGAATTGCCCTTTGACGTAACTTACAAGGTGCGAGAAAGTAAAAAACTTTGGGTTGAGCTGGTAAGAATGAAGGTGCAGGAGGCTCAAATATGTTTACCAGTTGAGGGTACCCTAGCATACTATCCTTGATACTCAGATACAAAATTTAACCTATGATTGTGCAATTGATGGGGGCTATTTTTCAGTGTGTTATTCATTTTCATTTTAGCAAATGTGAAAATTTAATCTTTTACAATAACCGTGGGAAATGTAGAGACTATACTATTCAACATTTTTTGAGAGCCTAACGTATGGAAGGTTCTGAGCCAGGCTTTGAGAACATCAAGGGAAAAGAACTACACCTCGTGGAGCTTACAGTTCAGGAGAAGCTCTTGAGATAGTGCTGGCACTGTCGATCTTCAGACAGTCCTTCTTCACCCTTCCTCAAGGTTGAGGTAGGATCTGGAAACATTGGGGTGTATTTTCAAACTCAGGAATAAAAAAGTAGAATGTGAGGAGCATCAAACTTTGAGAATAACAGAAAACTCGTAAGAAATTGTGTATTTTTCATCACTTAGGAGAAAAAGTGGAAATTTAACTATCACAAGTAGTGGATAACCCTCACTTCATATTCTGACAGACAATCCTGAATACAAACTTCAAAATACATCCACAGTCTGGTCACTTGATCCCAATGGTTCAAACCACTACCATCTCTTGTCTGGATTACAGCTAGAGTCTCCTAGATAATCTCCCTATTCACACCCTATCCTTTTTCACTTTATCTGCAAAACTCAGTGGCCAGAGTGATGTTTTTGTTTTGTTTTAAAGAAAGCCAAGCCGGGCTCGGTGGCTCAGCCTGTAACCCCGCGCCTTTGGGAGGTTGAGGTGAGTGGATTGCCCGAGCCCATGGGTTCGAGACCCGCTTGGGCAGGCAAGACCTAATCTCTACAATAAAATAAAAAAATTAGCTGGGCGTGGTAGTGCGTGCCTGTAATTTCGGCTACTCAGAAGGTTGAGGCGGAAGGATCGCCGGAGCCCAGCAGGTCGAGGCTGCGGTGGCCGGGAGCAGCCACTGCACTCCAGTGTGGGCGACAGAGTGAGACTCCAACTCAAAAAAAAAAAGAAAGCCAGACCATGTCACTGCTCTGCTCAAACCCTTCAATGGCTTCCTTACCTGTGAAGTCCTTTATGACCTAGCTTCTTGTCATCTCTTTGATCTCATCTCCCACTATTTCCTCCCCTCCCACCCGGGGAGACACAATGGCCTCCTTGGTATTCCTCAACTATGCCAGGCACTGTTTCACCTCAAGGCCTTTGTATTTTGGAATTATCCGTTCCTGAAATGCTGTTTCCCCAGATATTCACAAAACCAGCTCCCTTAATTCCTTCAGGACTTAATCCAAATGTCACCTCTTCCTGAGCCCTTTCCTGGCCACTCTATTTAAAATTTCACTCCTGCAGGTGTGGTAGCTCACACCTGTAATCTCAGCACTTTGGGAGGCGGGGAGAGGATTGCTTGAGCACAGGGGTTCGAGACCAGCCTGGGCAACTTGTTGAGACCCGGTCTCTACAATAAACCAAAAAAATTAGGTGGGTGTGGTGGCACATGCCTATAGTTCCAGTTACTTGGAAGGCTGAGGTGGAAGGATCACCTGAGTCCAGTAGGTCAAGGCTGCGGTGTCTGTGAGAATGCCACTGTATTCCAGCCTGGGTGACAGAGTGAGACTCTGACTCAAAACAAACAAACAAAAAATCACTCCTCATATATCCTACTCATTTTCTATGCTTTATTTGTTTTTACTTAACACTTCACATTATCTCATTTAGTATATGTTTCACTGATTATTGTGTTAGTGTCTTTCTCTATCCCTAGAATGAAATTTCCACAAGTGCAGTAATTTCTGTTTGCTACTATACTCTCAGCATCAAGAATATTGCCTGGCACATAGGAGACACTCAATAAATATTTGTGAATTAATGAACAAGTAGACAATAGAAGGTGTATGTATTTCCAATGATATAGAATTATATAGACCTGAAGATAAAGAACAAATCTACTTTGAGTTAAAACACTTGCTATAGTAATAAGCAACTATTCCTTTGCATTTATGAGCAATTATTTTTGCAACATATGTCGTGAAGAAAAAGGATGTAAATGAACCATGCTGTTAGCTTCCTTATACACCTAGAATCCTGAAACCTGTTTTCCAAGTTTGCAATAAATGCATCTATTCCCCTGCAAATTTCTAGTTTTTATAGTCACTGCAGTTTTAAGAGCTATTTCTCAAAGAAAAAAGCCTTTTACTGGCGGCAGTGGTTCATGCCTGTAATCCAAGCACTTTGGGAGACAGAAGTGAGAGGAGAGGATTGCCTGAGCTCAGGGGTTTGAGACCAGCATGGGCAACTTGGAGAGCCCTCCTCTCTACAATAATCCCCCCCAAAATTAACTGGTCATGGTGGCGTGCGCCTGTAGCACCAGCTACTTGGAAGGCTGAGGGGGAAGGATTACTTGAGCCCAGCAGGTTGAAGCTGCGGTGGCCATGTTCATTCCACTGTACTCCAGCCTGGGTGACAGAGTGAAACTCCAACGTCAAAAAAAACAACAAAAAAAGCCTTTTAAAAGATGTTACCAGCCGGGCTCGGTGGCTCAGCCTGTAATCCCGCGCCTTTGGGAGGCTGAGGTGAGTAGATTGCCTGAGCCAGCAGGTTCGAGACCCGCCTGGGCAGCGAGACCTCATCTCTACAATAAATCAAAAAATCAGCCGGGCATGGTAGCGCATGCCTGTAATTCCGGCTACT